TATTTAGTCGTCAGAACTCTCGGACGCAGATGTACTCGCCCAGAACTAGAAGAGAACTGTCTAATTTTTAGCAGAACTATCAATATGCGGCCAGCATATCACACATATGCTCAAAAATTCGCGTTTTTCGGGTAAATTAATTGTTTAAAAAAATTTTCTAATTATTTTAGTCGTCAGAACTCTTTGGAAAAGCAATGTACTGGCTCAGAACTACACGAAAACTTTTTAATTATTAACAGAACTATCAATATACGGCCAGCATATCACACATATACTAAAAAATGTCCTCTACTTTTTATCTGCTAACTTTCCGTAGCAAATCATTTTTTTCGATCGGTGTTTTTTTTATAAAATCACCAGAACTATCATTAAAAACTATCAGGAACTATAGAACTCGACTGCATGCGACAAGAACTCTCTTTTATTTTTGATCTGCTAGAAAATGATGTGCTACGGGAAGTTAGCAGATCATTTTTTCGATTGGTGTTTTTGGATAAAATCACCAGAACTATTACTAAAAACTATAAGGAACTATGGAACTCGACTGCATGCGACAAGAACTCTCTTTTATTTTTGATCTGCTGGAAAATGATATGCTAGGTTCACGAACATGGAACTGAAACGAAATTGCTTTTTTCTGAAGGCCGAGTTAAAATGACCAAATAATAAAGAAGTCTTGTCTATCTCATAGTGTTGCACTAATTTGTTCCCCAAACAAATTTTTTTGTCTACGACTCAATTGTGACCACTGTAATAAATAGCACATAATTGTATTTACATTCTGATTTATTTTTTTAAATAAATTTTATATCCCGCAAGGATTTCTCGAGATGAGGTTAAAAATAATAAGAACAAAACAATATTTGTTCTTGTCATTTCTAGTATATTTTTCGTATTATTATCATAATACATCTTTATGAGCAAATTTTCGTTGTGTCGTTGCATTATTGTAGAACTTTTGTTTTTCTTTTGAATATATAAGAATGTGCGTAAAGAACTTTAAATATATTTATAAAGATTTTTTAAATAAAATTATTGTCAGTATTTTTGATAATTTGCGTTCCGTGGCATTTTTAATATTTTCATTTTTTTCATACTTCATATTTTTTTATCAAATTTTTTATATATTTTTTAAAACTATAAATTACAAATTAGAAGCTATTATAATTATAAGCTTATCTTTTTAGATTGAAAACTATTAACTTTGACATAAATATATTTTAAATATTTACTTTAAGATAATAATATTTTAATTAAAGCATGGTTTTAATATACAGAAAGACGATATTTTTTATGAAAACTGGTTTGATTCACAATTTCCAGTCAAATGTATAACACAAATTATTATGATTGAAGATGTATTAAAACTAGAAAAAGCGCAACTAGTATTGGTATGTATTTGTTTAATTAATTTTTATAATAATTTGAATATTACAATAATATAATTATATAATATTATATATTATTGTATTATTTTATTATTATATTATTATGTTATTATACGATTATACGATTATATAATTTATTATATAGAAATATTTGATTATAGACGTGTCGATTTCAAGATATGGCGAATGATATTAATAACAGGGGTTTACGCGAAAAAGTGTACTGCAAAAAATCAGTAGTACGAAATGTATTGTGCAACCATTTTACAAAACATATCGTTCTACAACTGTATAAGAACGTAGTAACAGATTTGTACAATATATTAGATTTTAAACGTTCAAGAATTATGAAGTGTCTGAAAAGTAAGTTGTACTGCTATTGCTTTAATTATTATTTACTTTTATTTCTAGATAATTTTTATTTATAAATAATCTGCATTATTTTTAAGTATTAAGTAATTAATATAAAAAATGGAAAGTATTTATTTAAATCTGACGTGATTTTATGCATTTTAGTTGCCAAGGATGGAGTATGTTTCAGTTTTTCTGAGACAGACAAAATTACTGATGAATTTGTTGACAAAGATATTTTACAAATGTGGTTGGAAAAAAGTACACAGTAGATGTTTAATTAAATATTTTAGATATAGAACATTTATATAGTTATATTTACAAACTACTATTACAAACGTTTCTTGAAATTATTTTATTTTTTTTTTCTGACATTTAGTAATTAAATAACAAACAATACTATAAATTTATAATATTTCAAGGGTAAAATGTGAGTCTGGTTGCCGAAAGTATTATATATTTCTCACCGATTTAATAAGAGACTCAGTTTTTGATTTAGTAATGATGGTTCTTTTTGTTATATTATGCATTTTACACGTTACACCATCTTTACAATTTTATGTAAAAATGAAATAATTATGATTTCAATGTATCTGATAAATGTTATAATAAAATTTATAACAAACAGAAAGTTTCATTAACTCAAGGCGATACAAAACACGTTAACAAACAAAAATATATATAAAATATGTATCAAAGAATAAATTCATCAAAATAAATGATTTTTTCTTTATGAAATTAATGCTTATACAATTTAAGATTTAAAAAATGAGTGAGAATGAGACCTGTAAACAATTGTTATTATATAATCTGCAATGTGTTACATGAGAATATTTATTGCATAGATCGACTATCTTAATTATAATAAAAAAGGATAAATTTAACTGACTCATTGTTACAAAGCACAACAGCGGAATTGTCCTGTAGGTTGTTTGTGAAATTCATCTACACACACAAAGTTGATCTGTAAAATACAATAATAAATCCAAATAAAACTATTAAAAATAATTAGTATTTATAAAATAATTACTATGAACTTTATATTCTTTTATCTATGCATATAAAAAAAAATTTTTTTTTAGAATTAAATGTAATTATTTAAAATAATACAATGTAATAGTATATGTGCAATATTTTTAATTATGAATATTAAATATTTTAAATATTTTGTTTAACATTTTGCAATTAATATTAATGTAACAAATAAATGATAATTTACATTAATGTTATTCCGCCGGTATTCCGATGCGCTTCCTAGACCTCCTCCTCAGCAATCAGTTCCTTTAAGGCACTTAGACTGCGTTTGGAGAGCGCGTTATCAGCGCTATTGCGTCATTCTGTCTTTATCGCTCATTAGACATAAAACAAGAATAGAATGACACAATAGCGCTGATAGCGCGCTCTCCGAACGCAGCCTTAGTGTAGCCAGTTCTGCCCGGTTTTCGCGCAAAT